AAATAGAAAGCACAGTGATAAGATTAAATGATGGCTGTTGTATTTCGAAATATTTATTTCTTTTGTTTTGGAAGAGTTACTCAGAGAGTGGGTGGCTATTGCCCAAGTACTTGGGTTATTGTTTACTGCTTTCCCATCCGTTAGCAGTAATATGGATTGGAAGTGGAGCAACTGGCACACGAGCTGCTCCCCTTAGGAATGCTGCCATTGGCAGCGGTGGCTTACCCACTATGCCATAACACTCCTCTTGTGTTTGCTTTTAAAGATGACAGAAATTAGAGAATTTGTGTATTTGTAAAAGTGAAACAGGGAGGGAGCAAATTAATTGTATAGGAGAGTGGGCAATAAGAATATGAAGATGAGGGAGTCAAGGATTGAGGTTGTTTGGGAGGGCAGTAACTTAAATTCACTCAAATTGCAGGAAGGAAAATAAAGCAGTTGTACATTGGTTGTAGTCACGTGAGGGAAAGTTCCTGTCTATTGCTCAGTTAAATGAAAACAACTTTAGGAATGGAGAAAGGGAAGGTTAGGGTCTCTAATAGCTGAATGTGCTGTAATAAATTGAGAATCTTTTGAATGAGACCAAGTACCACAGAAAACTCGATTTGGAGGCCCTGGATGAATAGCTGGTTAAGCCAGCCTGGCATGCCCACATCATAAATCACAGTGCCTAGGATTGAGTGCCACCTCTGCTTTCTGTTCGGCTTCCCACTGATGGTGTGTGAAGCAGCAGATGGTGTCTTCTCAAGTGCTTGGATGCTTGCTGCTGACTTGGAAGCTGTGGCTCTTAGTCTGGTTCAGCTGAGGCGTGAAACATCAGCTGAAAACGCTGTCTCTTGTCTTTCACTCTGCCTTTCGACTAAATAAAACATCTTAAAATATTGTCTGGCTTCATTTTTTAAAAAAAAATAATTTGGAAGTTACGATGACAGGAAAAACACAAAGATGGTCTTTCTGCTGCCTCACTCCTCAAATGGATGTGATGGCCAGTGCTGGGCCAGGCTGATGCCAAGAGCCAAGGGCTTAATCTGGCCTTCCTAGTGCATACAGGAGCCCAAGTAATTGAACCTCTTCTGCCATTTCCCCTGGTCGTTAGCAGGGAAGTGGATAAATGAAACAGAAGTTGAAATAGTGGGCCCGGCGCGATAGCGTAGTGGTTAAGGTCCTCTCCTTGCATGTGCCGGGATTCCATATGGGTGCTGCTTCTAATCCCAGCAGCCCTACTTCCCATCCAGCTCCATTCTTGTGGCCTGGGAAAGCAGTCGAGGACGACCCAAAGCTTTAGGACCGTGCACCCATGTGGAAGACCCAGAAGAAGCTCCTGACCCCTGGCTTTGGATTGGCTCAGCTCCAGCCGTTGTGGCCACTTGGGGAGTGAATCATTGGGTGGAAGATCTTCCTCTCTGTCTCTCCTCCTCTGTGTATATCTGCCTTTCCAATAAAAAGAAATAAATCTTTAAATAATTTTTTAAATGTTGCCTGTATCTGCTGGCATTGCAGTCACTTAACTGTAAGTCACAGTGTCATCACCACCACCCAGCCTTTACTTTTAGAAGATTTCTGATCTCTTTATTTTTTACGTATACTAGGAATGATTTTTTTTTTTATAAGTCTTCTGGTTACACAAGTAATACCATCTCCAAGAATATGTGGCATATCATGAAAATTCCACCGGTTTTTCTCCCTTCATCTATACGCCCACTCTAAACCTAGAGGATCATTGTGGGCAATGTTGTTTGTATTTGTTATTTAATTTCTGCTAAACTTAGATTAACAGTATATTTATTTTTACAGAAATATTTGCACTGAAACGGAGATCAATGTTTATGAGTCTATTAAAATCTTAATTTAAGGTTATATTTTGGCATATTTGATCTGACAAACACTTAAGGATATCATTTAAAAGTTTGTTACTCTGTTTCTGAGGATGTTTATACTTCTGCTGTCAGTGCTTAGATGACTGAAGTCTGGATACTTGTCAGATGAGTTTGTATGTGGTTAAACTTTTTTGTTTTGAAGACAAGTCTTTAAAAAACAAAACCTGAATCATTGCTTTTGCCCATCCTTTAGCTTTCAGCTCTTTAAAGTTTCTGTTTTGGTGTTTCTTAGTGGTAGTTGTGTTTAGTTTTGTGTCAAGTCAGAGCTGTTTTTAATAGCTGAGCTTGTTTTCATTGATACTTTCTAGGTTTTGTTTGTTTGGTTGGTTGGTTGGTTTTAAGATTTATTTATTTGAAAGGCAGTTAGAAAAGGAGAGGTTGACCCAGGCACGGTGGCCTAGTGGCTGAAGTCCTTACCTTGCACGTGCCGGGATCCCATATGGGTGCCGGTTCTCATCCCGGCAGCTCTACTTCCCATCCAGCTCCCTGCTTGTGGCCTGGGAAAGCAGTCAAGGACGGCCCAAAGCCTTGGGTCCCTGCACCCGTGTGGGAGACCTGGAGGAAGTTCCTGGCTTCGGATTGGCTCAATTCCAACCATTGCAGATACTTCAGGAGTAAACTAATGAATGGAAGATCTTCCTCTCTGCAAAGAAATCAGTATTATTCATATATATATGAATATTTATTTGAAAGGAATTGTGATAAGTGTCTACAACAGCGAGGGCTGGGCCAGGTAGAAGCCGGGAACTGTGTAGTTTGTGTTCACAAAAGCTGACATAGATGTGTTTAATCCAAAACTGATTTTCTGCATAGAATATTCCTTTGTAACAGAGTCATTAATTAGTAAAAAAAAAAAATTAGCAGATCACGTAGCTGTCTCTTCATCCCCACATGTAAGATTATAACTGAACTATCAGAGCTGTTCTGTTAGTATTCTTTTAGAATTGCCAGAAATCCCTTGCTATAAGCTAGTTAGCTTTTTGTTGTTGGTTTATTAGTGAATCTTTTTGTAATTGCAAAATTAAATGATTTGCTGTTAAAATTTTATGCACCTTGAGGAATATTTTTGAGTATAAGCCAGATATCCTATTGTATTACCAAGTCTCACTTCTCCCATTTTAATTAAGTATTCAGGCTGCCCTAATACATGTCAGGCTATTTCCTTTTCAGTCATGTGAAAGTATTGCTGGTTCCTTTTAAAAGGCCAGTGTAATAGGAACAACAAAAATTTCTTGAGTTGATTGGCACTGCGAGGTCTAGCTAGTTTACTTTCCTTATGAGTTTGTGTTCCTCTGTTGTTAGGGCGAGTTGCTACGAAGATCTGTCTATTCATCCCCGTTGCTCCTGCTGTAGTCTGGGCTTTGTTGTTTTCATTAAGTATAATCTCTCACCATTGTGCTCCATCTGTAAACAAATTGGTTTGGCACAGATTTTGGTTTCTAATACAGCGATAATGCATTTGTAGTTTGCAGTTGCAAAGCTATTTAGTGCTCCTCAGGAAAACTGACTCACTGTACCCATGTTTAAGCTTAGGTTATAGCCTATTCATTTTCATTTCGTTACACATTGTTCTGTTTTGGTGGTGCTGATGGTAGTAGAGAGATTGTATAAGGAGTAAGGATCCATACAGTTTGAGTTGGATCAGGACCTTGAGCCAGATCAACTAGTCACTTCATGGATAATCTGTGTCACTGTAGAGTGAGAGTAGTGAGGGCTTGAGAGTTATATTGTGTAGGTCTGGCAATTTGCTGGGTGGAACAAGCTGAAATTGTATTCAAGATTCCAGAGACTTGGAAGAATCAGGGGATTCATCCAAAGATTCTATCCCTAAAAGCATAGAAACTAGCCTAGAGGACTTGTTAGTCACTGACACATGCTTGTGTCTCTCTTCCCCTCTTTTCAGGTAACACGTGCTTCGGGTTTTGTTCTGTTCATAAGCCAATAATGATACTTGAGAAATATGACTAGAATTATGACATAGCAGAGAAAGTGTCATAAGTAGTAGTAGACTGAAAAGCAAACAGTTGTCAGTGTAAGTGCTCTGACATTCTCTTAATTTGTAAAATCTTGCTCTCCTATACTTCAGAGACACTCAGCTGAAGATGCACAGTAAAGCCCATGGAAATACTTGCTCCATCTTATTCAACAGGGAAAATCAAAATCTCTAACGGTTCAGTTCCAGACAGTATTTCCTTTGATCTTTGAGATATTGCCTTTCTGGTTTAGGACCATTTTATCTCTAATGTCAGATTAAAGAAGTAGAGCCTATTAAAAGGAAGAAATTAGAAATATAGTAGGATGCCATGTTGTTGCAGTTCACAGAGCCAGAAATGAGTTCACTCCCAGCTCAGTACATGTGCAGTGCTGCCCACATAGTCCTTGCCTCCTTAAACGAAATGGCAGCTAATTCGGCTGTAGGGCCTGCACTGGGATATGAAATCCACCCTGTTCCCGCACGGCCCTTCTGGGACCTGTTGCTTTGTCTCTGCTCCTGGTCCAATGAAGCAGACCAGCAGGATGGGCAGTTCTTTGGGTTCACCTCCTGAGCTCCTGGTGAATGCCCCTTCCCACCTTGTTGCTGGTGGAGTTCCAGCTGCCAACGGAGTTCAGCTCACTGCTTGCTGAGTGCTGCTGGGATATCAGTTACTGCAACACCACACCGTCGTGTCGGCTGCTTTCCTGTGGTGTCAGTCTCCAGGACCCTCTCTGCTGTCGTCCAGTCCTCTCCTATTTCCTGAAATGTGCCTTCTCTGCTTCACAGTGGTTAATGTTTCTTTGTTTGTTTAAACGTGTCCTTTACCTATTCTGCCATTTTGATTCTAGTTGTATTATATTCTTACACAAATAGGCATATATGAAAACCTCTTTTAGATCTGTTCCAAAGAAAAAATAAAAATAACAGAGCAAATGAATAAAATAGACCACATTTAAATGGAGTCGGTTATTACTTTCCATCACTGTTGCTGCTTCTAGTGGAATTTAGTGAGTCCCGTAATGGTGGATATTAGGTTGGATATGTCCTTAAATAGTCCTTTTGATTCATAGTGTGTTTTTACATCATTTTATCCTTTTGTTCTAAATGATATTATTATATGGTTTTAACTTCCATATGTTTTCTTACAGCAGAAAAAGAAAACTAAGAACTTCAATCCACCAACACGTAGAAACTGGGAAAGTAATTACTTTGGGATGCCCCTCCAGGATCTGGTTACAGCTGAGAAGCCTATACCACTATTTGTTGAAAAGTGTGTGGAATTTATTGAAGATACAGGTAGGATAAAATATTAATGCAGATATTTTATTTGTGGATACTCTTTTGCTAGGCCAACAGTTTATCAAATGTTTGTAATTTGTCAAAATTAAATTTTGAAAGAGATATAGTAAGATTGATTGTTGTCACTGTTTGATTGATACTTGAGTAAAGTTTTCATGTTGACTAATGGAAAATATGCTTTTGTTGAACTTTTTAACCTTACAAGTAGCCAAGTTGAGTGCTAACGTGGTAACTCCTGTTCTACAGTTTGAAATAGCTTGATTATTATATTTATGATTTGAGTCATTATTTTTACAATTTTCAGTGTTTTTAAATCCAGAGCTATTTGTAGTACTTATTTATACACACATTTTGCTTTGAAAACTTGCAGTACTAGTATGAAAATCATTTTATTCTATGAAAGCACTTCTAAAAGTTATGGAAATAACGAGATTGCGAAATGTTTGTTTTGATGTAGCAAAATATGCAAATCCATGCAGTTTTCCATGAACTTTTAAGCATTTTTATAGTTGCAGCAGCCATTATTATCCAGTTATAACTTGACATTTCTGTGGTTAAAGTTGTATTTTTAAAGAAGGTATAGATAACTTTGCTGTTTTAAAACATTTCAGTTTTGTAAGTTTATTTTGTCTGTTGTAAAATGTTAAAACCAGAAGTCAGATCAGTGGGAGGTTGGGCAATAGAGGCCGATTTTGAGTATATTCAAAATTTTGAGTATATTCAAAATGCTCACAATTATAAATGGAGCTTTGAAAACATGAGCAAAACTATAGCCATACTTTTTCTTAATGATGCCATCTGATATTCAAGCATTATTTGGATAAGAGAATTTTGATGCCCATATGCCTGCTTACTTTTACTTATGTAAATTTTACTATGGAGTCTGATTATTAACTAAGTTCTTGACGTGTGGAGTTGTCCAGGGAAGAATGTTAATTTTGAAGAGTTAGGATGTCAAAATGCCATATATACTAGTATTACAGTTGTAATTGCGTGTGTCTTTCCAGCCTAAGTCATAAGTGATCATTTATACTACCTATATTTGGAAATGTATTTAATTTTTTTATTCAAGAAATTATTGAGACATATTTATTAGCAGAGTTTTTCCAGTATTCATATTTGTAAGTTTAACATCAGAAATTCCAAGGTTCTTTTAATTATATACCTCCTTAAAGAGTTCTTTTTTAAATTTTATTTTTATTTTTATTTTTATCCCAAAGTCAGATAAACAGAAAAAAGTAGAGACAGAGAGAAAGATCTTTCATCCATTGATTCACTCCGTAAGTGACAACAATGGCCGGATCTGAGCCAATCCAAAGTCGGGAACCAGGAGCCTCTTCCAGATCTCCCATGTAGATGCAGGGTCCCAAGGCTGAGCTATCCTTGACTGCTTTCCCTGCAACAAGCAGGGAGCTGAGTGGGAAGCAGGGCCTCCAAGATTAGAACCGGCATACATACGGGATCTTGGCTTGTGCAAGGTGAGAACTTTAGCCTCTAGGGCCATAAAGAATTCTTTTAAAAAAATTTTTTTATTTTTAATTCAGGCCCAGCAACATAATATAGAAGGCTAAACCTGCCACTGAAGTGCTGGCATTCCATATGGGTTCCTGTCCCAGCTCAGCTTCCAATCCACATCACTGCCAATGGCCTAGGAAAGCAGCAAAAGACGGGTCAGGGCCTCTGCAGCCATGTGAGAGACCCAGAATAAGCTCCCCGCTTCAGATAGCTCAGTTCTGGCTGCTAATGGCCATTTGGGGAGTAGCCAGTGGATAGATCTTTGTTGCTCCTTCTCTCTGTAATTCTGTATTTGCAATAAACATACAGCTGAGGGTTAGGGTTAGGGTTATATATATATATAGAGAGAGAGAGAGTGTTAAGGTTAGGGTTAGGGTCATATATATATGATTTTATTTTATATATATATATATGGAAGTTACAGTTACAGAAGCACAGGGAGAAACAGAGGGAACGAGGACTTCCATCTGCTGGTTCACTCTGCACATGGACACTGTGGCTGGAGCTTGGTCAGGCTAAAGGCAGGAGCAAGAAGCTTCTTCCTGGTCTTGAAAATGGCAGAGACCTAAGTATTTGGGTCCTCTTCCACTGCTTTCCTAGATGCATTAGCAGGAAGTGAGATCAGAAGTAAAACATCCCATATAGGATGCTTGCATTGCGGGCAGAGACTTTACTCACTAGCCACAATGTTGGTTCCTGAAATATTCATTTCTTCAATTTTTTTTTATTATTTGATGAAAATGCCTATGTTTCAAGTGTAAGATAATCATGTAATCCTAGCCCAAACTTTCTCAAAAATTATCCCTTTATTTGAAAAATATAGTAACAGTGGGAGTCAGACAGAGAGAGAGAATTGTCCATCCACTGGTTCCCTCTCTAAATGGCTGCAGCAGCCAGATCTGGCTCAGACCAAAACTAGAAGCCCAGAATGCCATCCAGGTCTCCTGTATTGATGACTAGGAGGCCAAGTACTTGGGCAGTTTTGTGTTGCTTTCCTAGGAGCATTAGAGAAAACTGGATCAGAAGCAAAGCAGTGGGTTCTCAAATTGGCCCTTGAATATGGAATACTCTGTCAGTAGCAGCTGCCTAATCTGTGCAATGCTAGTCCCTTTATCCCAGTGCTTAACACAACTTCATTAGTTCAGGCTAATAGATATTTTGTGTATGCTTTGTAAAAATACAAAAAAACCATATGACCACAAGAATGGAATAATTTATGTTATTATAGTATATTGCTTCCCTCCTCAAAACACCTTTTTGAATGTATAGTAATCGTACAGCTATATGATGTGTTACATTTAGATATATGTATATGATGCATGTGTAATTGTTAGAGTAACTGGTATGTCTGTCACTTAGATATAATTTCTTTCTCTTTGGAGCATTCAGAACCTCTCTACTAGATATCTTTAACTGTTTCAGTTAATTATTGTTACCCGTGGTTTCCCTGCCGTGCTGTAGAATATTAAATAATTTCTTCTATCCAGTTGTACCACCATACCCATTAAACACCCTCTCTGTATCCATTTCTCCAGCATATCCTCCTTATATTATCTTAATAAGTGTTCTATATCTACTTTGACATGGATGTCTTAGTGAAAACATGTGGTTATTTTTCCATGCTTGACTTGTTAAATATGATGTTCTCCAGTTCCATCTAAATTGCTGCCAATGATGGAATTTCATTTATGTTTGTGGAAAATGTATTGAATATGTATACACCACATTTTCTTTTCTTTTGTCTGTTAATGGGCGCTAGGCTGAGTTGATAGTTTCGTTGTAGTGGGTAGTGCTGCAATTAACATGAGTATAAATGTCTCTTCATTATAATGATTTCACTTCCTTTGGATATAGATGTAGGATTGTTTTTCCTAGGTTTTCAAGAAATTTCTGTACGATTTCTCAAAATGATGATGTTGATTTACATTCCCACCAGTGGTGAATGAATTACACTTTCACTATATATTCACCAGCATTTGTTACGTTTTGTTTGTGATAATAGCTATTCTAAGAGGAGTGAAAAGATACTTGTGGTTCATAACATACCTTTGACAGTGATGTTAAAACAGTTTTTATATTCTTGTTGACCATTGTATGTTTTAAAAGAACTGTTCTCATTTGTTCATTTACAATTTTTTCCTGTCTTTTTTTTTTCAGTATCTTATTATACAAGAATTCTATAAATCCCTTGTTGGATGAACAATTTCCAAATATTTGCTATGGCTCTGTAGGTTATATCTTTACTTGATGGGTGATTTCTTTGCTGTAAAGAAGTACTTTCAGTTAGTGTAATCCCATTGGTCAAGTTTTTGTTTTTATTATGTGTTCTTTGATGATTGTATTATAAGAAATATTTGCCCAGAACAATGTTGTGAAGCCTTTCCTTCTCTTTTTCTAGATGCTTCATGGTTTCAGCTCTTAGGTCTTTGACCCATGTTATATTGATTTGTATATAGCTGTGAGTCTGCTTTCACTGTTTTGCATGTCAGTGTCCAGTTTTCCCAGCTCCATTCTGTCTCCAGTGTGTATACTTGGTGTCTTAGATAGAAATGGGTTGATTATGGATAACATTTATTTCCTTCTGAATTCCTTATTGTCTTCTGTTAGTCTGTGTCTTTCCTAATGATATGCCCCTGACTTGCTGTTTCGGTTATTATTTTTATTGTGTTTTGAAGTCAGATATTTTGATGCCTTCAGGTTTTCTGTTTTCTGAGAATTTAAGATCACTTGTAGTTTCACACAAATTTTAGGAATTTAAAAAAATTTTTTGGAGAATATCATTGTGGTTTTAATAGGAATAATGTTGAATGTGTAGATAGCTTTGGGTAGTAGAGAAATGTTTGCTATATTTTTATTTATTTTTTGATTTTATTTTTGATAATATTTACATAGTTAATTAGGGTAGGAAAGGTCGAGGATTGGGGAAAGTGGCTGAGACCATCATTTCCAAAATTTCCCTTTCCTATTTCTGTATCTGGGAGAAGAGAAGAGACAAGGGGAGAAGCCACACCCAGCCTCACAACTGCCTTCAGTACCTGGGGATGGGGAGTGGCCACTCGATGTCATCCCAGGTCCCTGATGTGGAGCATGCTTTGAGGGCTGCACCCAGGCAGTTTCACTAGTTCTGAAATGCTTTTGATCCTGCCACTCCAAGGAGGAAATCCTTCCAATGTCTGTTGGCTGACATAGTCAACCTCAAGAGTCTCCATTCACCCAAATATTTGCTATCAATGCATGGCTGGGTTCGTTTACCCATTTGTTCTGCTTTTCCTCTGCTGTAGTACCAGATATCTTCTGCAAACCCAAAAGGATTTCATATTCTCCATGTGCATCTGGGTATGCCATCCACTACTCCACCTAAGCCACTAAGGAGCCCCCAGTTTTGACACATACACTCCACTGTCCCCAGAGCCTGTAATTCTCCCCATGGTTGGATTTCTCAGTCCATCAGTTCAGTTGAGGGATCCCCAAAGAAACCTCAT